ATATATATATATATATATATATATATATATATATATATATATATATATATATATAACGTACACATGTATACATTATTGTGAAAGTTGAAACATTCATATATTTAAAAACTAAAACAAATCAGAATGTCCAGGTTTAAATACGCGTGTTCGGGAATTGGTGCCTAAAGCGTGGTCTACAATGAGGACTTAAACTTTAAGCTTTAAGTAAGAAATTAACCAATCACAGTTGAGTTATAGAAAAATAATTAATTATAATTGGTCAATTTCTTAAAGCTAAGAAGACCACGCTTAAAGCGGTGTTTACATAGGGAACTTAAGCTATGAGACTTAGAGTTTCTACACAGAAACATTCGTAATGCGTTACGATTAGATTGTTTAATCGCTTGTTACGAATGTTTACCTAACAGTAAACTTATGTCAACACACAAGATCTCAATATAAACGCATTTAAACTAGTGTACATCAGACGTATAAGTACGTTTATGGTTTTCCTTTGTGCGTTGACCCAAATTTACTGTTAGGTACAGACTGAGTTTAAGGCCAGCACTTAACGTAACTTAACTCGTTACGGAAGTTTCTGTATGGAGACCCTTGAACTTTAAGTCGTAAGGAATTGACCAATTACAGTCAAATATGAGGAAAATGATCGATTGTGATTGATCAATTTCTTACGGCTTAAAGTTCAAAGATTAATGCAATTCTAAGCAAATATACGAGTAAATCGTAAAATTGTAAAATAAATCGTAGCTTACGTATCAATCGTCTACTCACACGTTCTTACGTGTCTTACGAGAACAAGTTACGAGCTTTACGATTTTGTCTAGAATTGCAGTATAAAGCGGGGAGCACACACTCTTCCATAAAGACATAATGTACAACGCATGAGAAAATAGATCAATCAGAGTCCTTCATTTTCATCATGGCAATAGAAATGAGAACTCTGATTGGTCAATTTTCTTGTGTATTGTGCATCATGCTTTTATGCAAGAGTGTATGCTCCCCGCTTAAGTCTAAAGTCTGATTTACAATACGCTTTTTGCTTCCTGCTTCTTTCTCTTTCTGACTCAAACCTTAAGCTTTAAGCCAGAAAAAGATAGAAGACAAGAAACAGAAAGCAAAGAGCATATTATAAATCAAGTTTCATGGCTTAAGTTTTCATAGTAGACATTGCTTGATTTGCAACACACTACCGAATCACCTTGCTTAAAGAAATGAGCGTATCGATTCGCGCGGGACATGTGTCGAAGGACCATCGAACGACAATCTCAACAAAGAGAGAGACGCATAGTGAAAAAGAAGTATGACGGTTGGCGAGAGAGCCGAGGACAAAAACAGTTGCCGTCTGTTCGCAGTGCTGAGGATGCTGACACCGAGACGCGCGGGGCCGGTGGGCCCCGAAGAGATCGGGCCCGACGACAAGGGCGTGAGCAACGCGGCGAGCGGTTCGGTCACCCCCGGCGGCTCCTACGAGAGCGGCGACGGCTCGAAGGAGTTCCTGTCAACCGGAAGGACCGGCAGGAGGAACGCACTACCGAATATCCTTGGCCGACACGCCGAGACCGGTCTGTCCGACCTGCCGGATCGGTTCGATGCGTTGTCCACTCACTCAGGTGCTGATCCATAAGTGTACGCAACTGCTTCACTGCCGCCGTTCACCGCCGTTCACCGCGCTCGCGGCGGGGGGTCCTTGAGATTTTCCTCGTGATCCCTCTGATTTGTATCGCGTACCGCTTGTTTCTTTTTATGTGCTACTAATTTCGCTCACGGCCGAAACGAGGAAGAGTCGCGGATCCAGAAAGTTTACAAGTTCAGTTGCGCGAGATATCTCCTATTGAATCTTTACGCTGCGAAAAAAGAGAGCGGTTGAATTAATGAGACTTTGCTTGAACGCAAAATTCGTTCGAGCAAATGTTTAGTCGATTGAATTATATTGATCCCGTATAGAAATTTTTTAGTATTTCCTCAAATGCACAGTTTATATTCTAATCAGAATGTTCAATCTTGTCCTAAAATAGATTATTTTACACACTACCAATTGGGAGTTCCATTCTTGTCCTAAACATGAGTCCTCTGTCCAGAATTGTAACAGAAATATTAAGGAAACTCGAACTTTTATAAGTATTTTCTGCATCAGTTTTATCAATACAATAAAAACAATAAACAAATATTTTCTCTGGCTTACATTATTCCATGTCAAAACATAAAATAATACATATATACATATATACATTTCAAAGTAATTGCTTTGCTTTCAAATTTTTTTCAAATCTTTACGCTGCGAAAAAAGAGAGCGGTTGAATTAATGAGACTTTGCTTGAACGCAAAATTCGTTCGAGCAAATGTTTAGTCGATTGAATTATATTGATCCCGTATAGAAATTTTTTAGTATTTCCTCAAATGCACAGTTTATATTCTAATCAGAATGTTCAATCTTGTCCTAAAATAGATTATTTTACACACTACCAATTGGGAGTTCCATTCTTGTCCTAAACATGAGTCCTCTGTCCAGAATTGTAACAGAAATATTAAGGAAACTCGAACTTTTATAAGTATTTTCTGCATCAGTTTTATCAATACAATAAAAACAATAAACAAATATTTTCTCTGGCTTACATTATTCCATGTCAAAACATAAAATAATACATATATACATATATACATTTCAAAGTAATTGCTTTGCTTTCAAATTTTTTTATCAAAATTAAAAGAAGGGAGAGATTGTTTTCATGAGTTTTATAATATAATTAAATCAAATAAAAGTTACGAGCTGCTTTAGCGCTATTCAGAGTGCACCACGTGGAGATACATCTCGCTTAGTATCCTTTTGTTTGATGCTAAGCAGGCTATACCTCTACGTGGTGCAATTTCAACATAAAAATGACGATAACTCGAATACAACGCATTTTTGGATCTGTTTATATCAACTTTTTTTCTTGTTTTTGAGTCCTTAATCACTTCCTGTGTGATTGATCTTCACTTTTGAAACACTTTTATAAATATATATATATATATATATATATATATATATATATATATATATATATATATATATATATATATATATATATTTTTTTTTTATTAAAAATTTTTATATTAAAATGGAGATGTATTATTTTATTTTAAATATTCATTTATTTTATATGAATTCTTTGGCCAAAATATTTGAAACTTACATTTTAAGTATTTACTTTTTACGAGTATGTATGTCTGTATATATACTTGTAACGAGTAAATGTGTATTTCATATATTTTGCTCAATTTTATTTTAAAATATAAGCCAGAAAAAATCTCTTGGAAAACGTTGGGGATGACCAAATAGGATCTGTCTAGGTGTTTCCCACTTAGATTCGCATATTTAAAAAATTATACTTCTAATCAGACTCTCTGCATAGATTTCCTATCTAAAACTTATAATTATAGGAAATCAGGCTAGATGCCAATTAGATCCCAAAATATTTTTTATGCGAGTTGTTGCAATGAGTTATCAACTGATTTGATGATTGTGATTTGATCAAATATATAAACGCAACTTTTTGCTGCACTGATGCGTAATTCGTTCAATATTATTTCTTTGAGAGCGAGTGACCGTCAGTTTTGTTGATCCAACTGCTTTTTTCTCAGTGTATGCATTGAGTATTCTCAGTGTATTCAGAGATACTGAAAAACAAATTCTGTTAAAATTGAATAGCCAGCAGCGTCGTGTTTGGAATAAATCTTCTCGATTCGATAGCAATATTCAAGCTAATGCACTCTCTTAAAGTGAATCAGTGAAATATCATTGAAAGTCGTAAATATACATTGATTTGCAGCTATAAGTACAGCACTGAAACTGCTCAATACTATACTTATAACTGATATCAGTGACTACTATTCACTGTATTCACTTATTCACTTATTCACTTTAAAAGAGGATCATATGTTGTTTTAATAACTCGAGTATATCGGTTTCAGTGGCGTTGCCGTTGAATCGAGAAGCTTTATTCCAACTACGCCGTTCCTGCGACCAATTCTATTGATCCAACAGCACTTTTCTTTCTACCGTGCACGGACGATGCGTAGTTAAAAGAGAGACTATTTTTTAACTTCATGTCGCGTGTACGGTTTCTCGCACGCGTGCTAATTCGACGGTGTAAAACCGATTCTCCGCTAGCTCTTCTTCGCAGTATCAACTATCCGCCACCGTCGTAACAATTCTCAATTATTTGCGCGAAAGAAAATTAAAATCATTGCTGTGCTTTGCAAAATTCAGCAAGATTCTTTGTGAATCCCGCGCGTGTCGAATCTTATAATTGGCACACGAAATCACAAAATGTCTGTTAAGTGTTTCGAAGAATATACACGGTGTTTTGAATATTTTCTATCGAATCTCTGCACTGTCAGAGATCGCACGGACGTTGCGTATTTAAAAAAAGGTTTATTTTTTACTGGTGTGATTATGTCAAATTCTTCTCTTTGTATAATTAATACGCGAAATGTCTGCTAAGTGTTTCGACGAATATATGCGGTATTTGCAATATTTTCTATCGAATCTTTGCACTGTCAGAGATCGCATAAACGATGCGTGTTCAGGAAAGAGTTTATTTTTTACCTCTGTATCGTGTGATCGTCACGTTCTTTTTGGTATAATTAACACACGAAATCCGAAATGTCTGTTAAATGTTTCGATGAGTTTGCACTTGGTATATATTGTGACGCTTGCATCTCGGCATTCGCACGCATTGATATGCTCCGCGAGGACAAGAAACACTGGAATTGTTTGTTACAGATCAGTCCAACAACAGCGGGCAGGACCCGAATATACCGGGTACCTCGAAACAGCATGGCTGACATGGTCGTGAGGCTTCGTAGCGAATCTCGCTGTTGCAACACTTGGCCTCTCCTCATCATCGACATCGACGGCGAGGGGGAAACATTTGGCGTTTCTGTGAACGAAGTTCTCGAACGTTCCTTGACTCAACTGTTACACCGACTAGGCGAACGACGTGCCGAACGTATCGTTCCGTCAGCTGCTAGAGAATGCTAGAATTTCAGCAGATTTTTCGGAGATTTAGAGCTAGGACTCGAAGGGAGTCGCATGATCAGGAGACACACGATTGAAGGCCTTGATCGTAGGAGCGCGACGAGTCTGTAATTTAAAAGATTCACTTCGAGTGTGAATTCGCATCTCGAAGATCCACTCGTTTTAGACATGATCTCGTATCCGAAGGAGGCATTGTAAATTACGGATTTATCCCTCCTTCTTATAACAGATCTTTTGCCCAAAAAAAATATAATCTCATTCTTAACGAGATCTTCTTATATATGGCTTCAAGAGAAAAATTTTCTGAAATCAAGAGGAAAATATTCCTTTTGAATAAAAGTATTTCTTCTGAGATCAAAAGGAAAATATTCTAAGCACAATATTCTCCGAGGAATTTCGTCTTTTATCAACACAAGTCTTGTTATTAATAGAGATTTTCTGGAGTAAGAAGGCATTGTGCAATAGATATATTTTTCTTGCTTCACGAAAGGAAAAAAATAATATTTATTATATAGATTTTCGATTAATATAATAGTCCACTTCTTTAGAAAAGAAATATATTTTCGGTAAAAGTTTTTATTTAGAATATGAGATTGCAGGAAATAGCACCTTGCAACTAGAGTTTTTTTATGTTAGAATATTTTTTTTTTTTGGTTTAAGGAGAATTATCTTGAGGCTAATATATAAGAGGATTCCTCTGAGAATAAGATTATATTTTTGCGAGTTCAAGCAGCATACACATACATATATATATATATATATACATACATACAAACGAGAAAGGAAGCAGCAATTTTTGCTTGAGTAAAATCAACCCAAACAGAGAATCACCGAACAGAATTAGTTTCGCCTGATGATAGGTAAATCGCACGGAACATTAGAACGACGTATACATACGTCCTAACTTCTCGCATTGCGAGTGAGACGTGATTTGGTGAGTTTGTACGGACACAACAAAACAGATAAATCTAAGATCAGCCGCAAATTGCGATCTTCTTTCACTTTACTAAACTGATAACTAAAACCCAATGAAGTTTCCGAGTGTATTTTAGATATCGTGTATTTTACATTATACGTATTATATTTTTAATGGATCGTTATTGTGTGCAAAAGAGGCTTCTTTGACAGGAGAAAGAAGACAATTTTCGATGTTTATCTCTTCTTTTTATCTTTTTTAAAGGAGAGCATATATCGTAAATAATGCCCCAGTTTCCAGATTCCACATGAAATCGTATAATTACAATAAAATTAGCACATACCGGCTGTATTTTCCATACAATTTCATCTCGTTTTATTTACCTTTCGCGCGCTGAATACGAAACGTAATTATAAACGGGGACGTTTTACGCGAATCGTTTATCCTTTTGATCATAATTACGAGCGCATATCGCGCGCTCACGTCGCGATTGGTACATGCAGTATTAATTGTTTTACGTAACGCGACCATCGATCGTCTGTATTAATGGGTGCTGCATAGGAAAAGATCCGTAGGGACGGAAAACGTGCCGTGAAAAAGCTCTCGTCGAGCCAGTTTAGGAGCGAGAACTCCGTGCAGCTGTTAATCGATTTCGCAAGTTCCGCCCTACTACGATTAGCGTAGCGACAGAATTTAGCTGTAAACGCTCTTAATAATGAAGAACAACATTGATATCGGCATTATTACTGCAATCTGTATTCATGATATATCGTGAGTATTAATTAAAGTACATGGTGTAGCGTAGAACTTTCTGCCGCGTCCCGCCCGGAAGTCCGTGTGTACTTTGTGACTTTGCAACTCCGACGCGCGGAGTGTCCTGCCGCGACTTTGTTTGAGAATTTCCAAAATTGCGACGAACGCGACGGGCCTCGTGACGTGCGGCTCGCCGGAGGAAAAGCCGCTCGGTCACGTCGAGACGTATCCGCCGAGATGTTCCCTTCGGGACGCGTTCCAACGTTCGGTGCGGCACCCCGTGTGCTCGCGTCTCTTCCTCGACGAATTTAGCCGCAGAGAAAGACTTAAGGAGTTTATTCACCGGATATATATTTATATACAGAGAGCCGCCAAAGAACGTGCATTCAGTGACGTTATTCAAGATAGTTACTTGCGAATTCAGCATTTGCGTCGGACAGAATTTCGTTCTCATACGTTTACTTCACTATCTAAATAATAAATTGGTTAATAAGTTTAAAGATACTCTTAACTTAATAATAATAAGTTAATTCGAGAGTAATTTCACGATACTACCTCGCCACGTTTCGGTACAACGCTCAAAGCACAAAACAGTAGTTTCCTGGCCTAGAATCGACCAAAAACGGTGTAGTGAATATTATTCTTTGTTTTATTTCGCGCATTTCCTAATATTACATACATTTGGAACGGTAAACTTTCTAATTTGAACAATATCATTTTTTACGAAATTACACAATGATAGTTATCAGTATTGATTCTACCGTAAGATTGTATGTGCAAGATATTGCGACACATTCAGTATTAAATTTCTCAGGAATGGTGCAGACAAATCGCATGAAACTACGAGATATGTTTTATTGCGATTAATATTACGTGAAATTTTTATATAATTTTGGTGAATAAACTTCTTAACAGCAGAGAGAATTTCCGCGTATGATATTCGATATTCAAGGCTTGATATAGTGGCTTCTCTCAGCTCGACATGAATTCTCGACTGATTGCGATATTCGGCGTGCGAGTCGCGGCGGTATCAAGCGTATTACGAGCGAGATTAATTGGCTATATATATGTAACAATAATCCAATCTACTAAAACATAAATTTTGAGTTCTTCTTACCAACGCGATATTCGTCTTTCTACGTAAAACAAGGAAGATCCAAACCTTATTGGTACCTATAATTAATTGCAAAAGTTATTTTCTATTAATTCATTTTTTATTAGTTGAGTCTTAATTCTTTTTTTAAAGGTCAAATTTGTTTCAGTAAAACTGTCAAAGAGAAACTTAACCATACTTGAATTTTTGAACGATCACGAAGAACTTTAGTGCTACCCATAATTTTTAAATCATGTACCAAATTTTCATCTTTACTTTACGAAACGTACTTCATGTGATTTGGATCATCTTTGCATAACTGCGGCGAATTCATGAAATAATCTTTTTCTATTTCACGTTCTGCCGCGGTGTCCGCTGCAAAATCACTTGTTACATTAAATTACGAGAAGCACAGCACGTCCCGACGTAATAATTCCATTAATGTTACGCAATTACTTCGAGCAACTCGTTACCGCCTAACAATGCTCCCTCCTCATTAACGTTACCGCGACGTGCAAAGTAACGGGCCGTTTGTTTTTAATGACCGAAACGGCTATCAGATCTTTGTACAGAGATGGAATTGAGAGCGACTCGCGCAACATGGTTGATGTGTACATAGAGAAAGAGAGAGAGAGATAAACTTATGGGCGACGCATTCGCATTCGCGAGCTCGTCGCTCCGGCCGATCGCGGCGTCGTCTTGGATCTCCGCGAGCGCGGGTATGACTAGTTAATTAAGTTAACGAATAAGGTAGCGTTTAATGATCAAGTCTGTACATACACATCGCATTGCGGCGCAGTGCGTCACGCGATCACACGGCTCCGTATTCCGGACGTGTGTCTGGAGGCTAAACGTACGCATCGTCTGAATTCGCATTGATCGTGTCGGATGCACGAGGGAGTTCGTGGATCGCGTTTACGAGAATGCTAAATACCGACATAATACGGTTTCATAGTTTGTGCTATTCAGTCGTACCGAACTGCAAATGCTCTACAGAGTGAAAGTACAAACGCCACTGTGTGGGCGCACTGAGGACCAAAAGTGGTTGAGTTAATGGGATTTCGCTTGGACGAATTTTGTTCGTTCAAGCGAACGCTTTTAGTCGACTGAGCGAATTGTACAGTTGCTGTGACGAGTTATCGATTGGTTCAATGATTGCGATTTGGCCGATTGTCGCGCCAACGCGTAATTCGTACGATATTTCTTTGAAGGCGAGTAACCGCCGATTTTGTCGATCCAACTGCTCCTTCTTTCTCAACGAGGAAATGTTGTATCAAGATAAAAAGAATTTTTTCTACTTAAAAGATCTCTTATTGTTCCCGATACAATATTTCATGCCTTTCATTTGACAACTTGTATCTTCACTCTAGAAGATTTGCAATTCTACGCGAGCAAAACAGTGCAGACTACAAAACTGCATTATGTCGGCAAATCCAAGTGTGTTATTTTAGCCGAATCTCTTCTTACATATTCTTTACCGTTTTAAGTTACGTCGTTCAACAAGTGTGGGTGTATTAAATTATAACTTACGTCTTGGACGTGTGTGTTAAGAAACGTGACTTAAAGCAAAACTTACGAAAGATGTAAAAAGAGCTCGTGTCAAATTACACGCTGATGCGAAAGATAACACACTAGGATGCACACAGTGGATCCAGCACTCCTTAACGCGTTAGTACACTGAGAGAAATTATCCCATAAAAAACTAACAAACGGATATTTCCGAATAAATTTCGATAAATTTTTATATCTGATTAGGATATCCGATTAAATATTTCCGATCATTATTTCATCAGATAAACCGATGAAAAAGTTATGAACCGATATTTCTCATCGGATGTTTCCTGATCGGATACAAAAATTTGTCGGTATTTTGATCGAAAACACCCGTTTGTTAATTTTTTATATAATTAATCTAGAGATATAGAGGATAATTCCTCTCAGTATGGACACGCGACGGGAATATCGGGCGCCGCGAGGCTATTCACGAGAAATTACGCGTTTTTGGACTCGAATCTACCGACACATCGGTGAAACGTCGCGTCTGTATATTTTAATACGAGGACGTTTATCCTTATACCTTTTTGCAATCTGAATTATCGCGACTCTTCGAAGAAGTAAATGTTACGACTATGGTACTGCAGGCCATCTTCCTCTCGATCGATGCGTCGGGAACGGTATTAAGCTTCAGCCACGCTTGTCGCCGAATTAAGCGCGAGTAGGTGGTTTATTCGGTTGCCACAATTTTTCAAGATGCCGCAAGAGCCGTCTGAATGATGCCTTAAGGACTTTCTAGTTTTCCAGATGTCTTTTAGGCACTCGTGTTGTCCGAGCAATCTGGTCGACAATCGCCAAGCGCCCGCGTTCGCCTGCGCATCGACCATAGTCGACTTCAGATACGCTATTTCGAGCGTGCATTTTATTTACAATAAAATACTATTTTACAAGCGCGATATTATTTTGCAACTCCCTTCTTACTCCCCGCAAAAATAAATATTTACGCGATCTCGTGGCTCGGCGTATCACGCGAAGACAAAGCGCTTCCTTGCGCATCGTTGAACATCGCTCCGCGGCGAATTTCGGAAGGGTTTACAAATGCATTTTCCGCGATCGAGTCGTTTCCGACGTGTCGATTTCGTACCGAAACTCGAGCGGTCCACTGGAAATACTAGTTATTAACAGGACGGAATATATGTGGTGTATTGTAAATAATTCATTCGATTTCACTCGATTATAAATGCAACAATTTGGAATCGCCTCCCCTCCCCCGTCGTCGCGAAGAGGAATATTCGAGCGCAAACAGCGGCGACATATGAATGATATAATGTAAATCTAGCAGTATATCTATGCGCATATGGAGAGAATTTTATGATAGAAATTGCTATAGAGAATTTGGTAACTAAGGAACGGATCGACATTCCACAATAATTGACTTTCGCATCCTTTCATTTCATACGTGCTATTTATATTTTAAAAATTAAAATGTGCTACTAAAAAATTCACTTTGTTTTCAGTACGAAATGTACTACACTCAGAAAAAAATACATGGAAATTTATTCATTATACATGGGAATTTATATGAGATATAAAGTCTGTTCGCAGAAATAAACTTTATATTCCGAACAAATGTATTTTCAAGAATTCCTTCCTTAACATATATTCCTCAACAAGACAGATCTTACTGACAGTCTGTTCCTGCACTACTAGAAACTTAGTAAAATTGTGAAAAGGGTTTATATGAAAAAAAAAAAATTATAAAATTCTCTCTATATATTTTGACGAAATTGACGGAAGAAGAGGGAATACGTGCGACGTAGACGACGTTCTCGTCGCTCCTTGCGATTTCGGCCGCGTTATCGAACAAGGCTAAGTTCCCCGATAAGGATAGCCGGTGACGCGTGTGATAAGCAACGACTGATATTGATCTCCATCGAGAGACGTCTGTGTTGCGCTGTTGTCTGATCAAACGCCTAGCTTAAGACGTCGACGTCGCGTCGTTTCTTCGCGTTCTCTCGCGACAGAGGACTCGAGCGTCGATAATATGTTTTTTCATACCTGCGTACCTGTTTTTCATAGTCAATAACGGTGATGATGATGCTTTCGAGAGAGGAAGAAAAAGATCGTCGCTGTCGCAGACAGGCTTCATAGATGATCTAAGAAGTAGATGCGATTCTTGTTCGCGCACGACAGCCGTCGATTGTAGCGGATCTCGCGACGCGATTGTTTCCGAATACAACACATACACACACATACACATGCTCGGCGTGTGTCCGAGGCGAAAGAGCAAGAGAAAGCGAGACGGTGACAGTGATGGAGAACGAATGAGGTACGCCTACGCTCCTACCCTCCGCGAGAGCGCGGATGCACGCGCTCGATAAGCGCTGATAAACGGTCTATGATACGATACGATTATCGTGAAAACCATAATAGGATTTGATCGATACGAAAGTGCCGGTCGCGCATCCCCATGGCCTTTGTTTGCGCAGCAGTAACTCTTAAGGACTCATGCGTGCACGGCGATGATCGACACGAATTGTGAAACGATGTACGTTACTTCTACTTGTGAGAACACAATACAATCTCGATTCGTACAAATTTCTTACGTTACATCCCGCCTTATCCTGACTGCACTGAAGAAAAACGTTAAAAATATAAAGAAAAACGTTTATCTTTTTTTTTCGGTAGGTACTCTGACAACGTATTCACTTCAATCTGAATTATTTTATTTAAATCGAATAAAGAGTTTCTTTGATCAGTGGCTGAAGTTTTAGGAAAATATATATCTTCTTGTTTCGCAAATATTTTACTTTAATATAAAGAGAATATTATAGTTTCTTTTTTCCATTTTTATTTTTTTTTTTATTTTATTAGTGTTTTTTTCATAGTTCAGAAATAAATTCTGTAAGGTATCTACTCTGTCTTGCTAGAGAACACAGTTTTTCGTTTTTCGTTGCATAGCAGATTTTGCTAGAGGCACGTAACAGGTATTTTAACAGCACATTTTACAATTTCTAAAATACAAGTATTACATATATGAATTAAAGGAGTAGTAAATTACTGTGGAATGTCAATCTACTCCTCGCTTACAAAATCCTGCAGTAATTTTTACCATAAAATTCTCGCGTGCGTGAAGTTGGCACCTCATTTTTTAGCAACGCAAGTTTTGACATGAGTTCCATTTGCACCCACAATAGTTCTATAGTT